CCCACGTGTAAATTAGATTAGAAATATGAAGTTGCATAGTATCGAAGATGGAAGCGTACACGTGAAAAGATTACTGTATGGCATTTTATCATTATTTTTTAAACTATTAGCTTCCTCTCTGTCACCACGGGTTTTCAATTTCTACATAAGGTAGCTCGTAGATTGTTGAAAATATTGTTTGTAATTACAGAAAACAGATAAAATAGTAGATCTGTGATAAGAAAATGCCTCTTCAGCTGTCTTGATTCCAAATAAATGATCATATCAACTCCTCTCGAGCTCCAGCGCAAAGGTTGTCATCTCCCTACCCACCCCAACCCCTGGATTAATCAGTGAACTTACCAACCAATTTGTCTCCGAAATAACACAATTTGTCTCAGCTAAAAGAGGGTTAAGTGACTTTTACCGCCGCCTATATACTGTAAACAATACTGGAAACTTTTCCCGTGCCATCTCTGCTGCTGAGTCATCCCAAGACTCTCCTAACCCGTTGAAGGAGGACCAACTCCATGTCTCAGAGTATGGTTTGAAAAAACTTTGTTTGAATATTAAACTTGGCCTATACCGTGCCTTTGGTATGAGATCCCCTAGAAAGCAGCCCCCTACAGAGCGTTAGATTAACCCTAAAATTCAAGAAAAAACAAGTATCACGAGATCAAGTCGCTGTGATGTCCTGGAACATCCAGGACAGCACAGGAGACGGGTCTAACAAATTTGAAAATAGCGAATTTTTGTCAATCCTCAAACAAGCTAACATTCTTTGTCTCCAAGAAACAAAGAAGCAAGTTAAGATTGAAGGATACCTCTCTTTTAATAGCAACCGCAAAAATTCACGCTCAGGAGGGGTCTGCATTCTTGCTGAAAATGACCTAAGAAAAGGTGTCTCTAGTGTGCTTTGTAATGAATCTGATGACATTATTGTTGTTAAACTGGACAAGAACTTTTTTAAACTTGATTTTGACCTATTTTTGGTATGTTATTATATTAGCCCTGCATACTCGTCCTATGTCAAGAAGAATCCAGATTATACTGCTAATACCTTCTCTGCTCTTGACTCTATCTGTATCAGACTACGTCAAAAGGGAGAAGTTATTATGTGTGGCGATGCAAATGCAAGAACTGGAAAACTCCCAGACTATATCCTTTCCTGTAATGCACCTGCCATCCATGACATCTATAACGACATTGGACTCGAGCACGACATAGAAGAACCAAGAAATAATTCTGACCTTACAATATCTGAACCCCACTGCCAACACTTTCTTGACATGGTTATCAATAACCAACTCAAAATTCTTAATGGTCGTACCCTTGGGGACACCACTGGAAAAATGACCTGTCACAAATACAATGGAAGCAGTGTGGTTGACTATTTTGTAATCACCTCATGGGCAAGAGATCATGTAAACTCTCTCCAAGTAAAAGAGTTTACATCATACTCTGATCATTGTCCATTAGTCTTGAAACTCACTACATTTGAACCATTTGTCGCAAACTTCCAGCTCCCAGACTTTTCTAACTTTCCATGTGGCTATAAGTGGGATAGCAACACCTCCCATTCACTATTTAAAAAAGCCCTTACCTCGCCCGAAATTATCAACAATCTGGAAAGCATTGTGACAAATGAATTTAGCAGTACTCTGGAGGGCAATCACGAACTGAACGATGCAGTCATAAAATGTCTCCACAGTGCTGCTGATATAGCCTTAAAAGTGAAAAAGCCTCCCAAAAATTCTGCCCGTAAGAAATGGTTCGACCCACAAGTCAACTCCTCGCGGCGGAACCTAAATAGGCTAGCAAACCGGCTTGGTAGTAAGCACTGTAACAGTATCCTCAGACGAGAATACTTTAAGCAACGCAACAAGCATAGCAATTTTGTAAACAGTAAGAAAGTAGCTTTCCTTAAGAAGTTAAATGAAGCTATAGAAGAAGGTCACATACTCGACTGGAAAAAATTTAAACGGCTTAAACAAGAACATGACACTAGCCCCTTACTTGACAAATTTGATTTAGCTAGCTTCCATGACTTCTTTGCATCCCTTTATAAAAAACCAGACCAGGAGCCAGATCTCACTCACCACAATCACAAACATTACCCTGAACCACCAGATTCAGCCTACTATAAGAGCCCAGATTTCCACTCAAATACTGGCCAATGCATAATGCTATAGGACCTCAAAAATAGTATTATAAAACATTTCTATTTTATCCCTACACATTTGTAAATGGACACGTTCATTTGAGTTTGAGGATATTGGTAAATATAAGTGACCCTATTAAAAGGCACAGTGTAGTTGACTTTGTCACACTATGAAATTACTTAAACCCTTGATGGTTAGGATAATCGTCTCATCCTCTAGGCTAACTTTGTCACATAACGATATCTTAATCAGGTGATAAGATATCGCTTAAATACGGCCGGCACGGAAATGGTTACATTGTCACACTATAAACATGTGACGGAGTAAATATGGACCCCTTGCTGCCGTTTTTGACCAAATTTTTGAGTGTCCAGTTGATTGGATGGGTACATATGACCATTACCTACATATTTGACGACTTTTTTAGTTAGATGGTGCATTCAGGTTTACTCTGTCACACATTAAAGAAAATATGTGATGAATGTTTAGGGCACCCTGCTAAGTAATGATGGGTAGTGTAAGTTTATTTGATGGCCTGGAAGTGCTGGGAATTGTTATTATATTATATAGTCGTAAGGAATTAAAACACAGAAGGCACAACCAAGCTTACTTTGTCACAATATAATCTTGATGATATCTGAACATGTGTGAAATTGAACAAATAATGATACCAGCTCAAACCCCTTATATTATACGTACTATGGATCAAACAACACTGCTAGTACCATGCACCAGTCACATAAATCATTATCAGGTGGTAATATGTTAACAGTGTCACAATTAAACTACCGCTACATGGTCAAAAATAGGGTAATTTCGTCACACAAAATTATTATAACTCTGTTATAGCTCCTTGCTGGCAAAATAACTAGTTTATCGACATTTTTTTGATGATAAAGTAACATAGTAATAGAGGTATAGTTCTTCAAAATAGGGGCAAGACATGTTTACTTTGTCACATCAGTTATTATAAGAGTTAGGTAATCGTCATCAAATTAAAAGATATTTTTCGTAGTTTGGATCGATTAATACTTTAATATACCTGTAATAAATCCTATGCCAATTTTAACACACTATCTTGATACTGTTGGGGCAGGGAAAGTTAATTTTGTCACATTTTCAATGTCTTTGACAAATGAATCTAAATTTTTAAAATTGAGCTCTATGTTCTGGACAATATTCTTCCAATCGTTTCTGAAAGAATGTTGAATTCTAATAGAGTTATAGATCTTCAAAATAGGGGAAAGACAAGTTTACTTTGTCACATCAGTTATTATAAGAGTTAGGTAATCGTCGACATCACATTAACATATATTTTTTTGTAGTTTGGATTGATTTATATAGGTAATAAAGCAGCCTATGCTAATTTTTACACACTATCTTGAAATTGTTGGGGCATGAAAAGTTAATTTTGTCACATTTTTAGTGACTTTGACAAATTTAACCTAAAATTGTTAAACTTAAGCTCTGATGTTCTGGACAATATTCTAATAGAGGTATAGAATATAGATCTTCAAAATAGGGGCAAGACATGTTTACTTTGTCACATCAGTTATTATAAGAGTTATTATAAGAGACTATTTCATTCTATAATCATTGTTTTTAATCTATTTACGATTTCGTATACTTTTTTGTGACAATGTAAACGTCAACTGATCTTAACTTGCATCAACTACATTGTCATCATATAAAATTTTCCCGCCTTTCAAACCAAAATCAGATATAAATAATTCGCCCAAAATTTTAAATTTCATATATTGTGACAGAATTAACCTCATTTCCCAATAACCGAGTGCCTGTATTAGCTAACTATTCAGAACAACATATTTTAGGGCTATGATTGGTAGAGCAACCATCAAATAATTAGTTGAAAGGGTTTTTAGGACACCTCACAGTAGAATAGAGGTATGGTATCATGAGTGTGACAAAGTTACCCAAATATTGCCATGTAACCGTTCGATCCGTGCCCATTAACCTTGATGTTGTATCATAATTGTTAGATTGACCTAATTTACTATATTTCAGACCAAGGAATGATAATTAGGTAACTGCAGTTAACTAAGTCACACAAAATGTGACATTTGAAACATTATAGTGCCTAACAACAATAGATTTTCTTTCTGAGCGGTGCATATGGGAGTATGGGTTACGTGGCTAATGTTCAGAACTTCTGAACGTGCTAGGTTAATAGAAGTCAAAATTAAGCCACTATCGTCAAAAACGCTATTATTTTTGTTTACCAATATCCTCAAACTCAAATGAACGTGTCCAAATAACTAGAATTGTGTAACCTTAAATTATTTCAGAATTATAACTATTGTGAATTCAATAAAATAATTATCACTTTTGTATCCTTGTATCCTTGTATCCTTGTATCCTATCATTATAATCATTCCAGGTGTGTGCATACAAACATTGACTTTGGGGGAGCGGACTTGACTAGCCTTGTCACCGACAAAAACAACATCGGAAAATGCGAAGGATTAACTCCACTGGACACTGCTGGTTAAAGTACCGACAGTACGGTGACGGTGGACCAACATCCAACCATGGACTCATTAGCATGAACATGAACTGCTCAAAATAGACATCGATAAAAAGTTCGAAATGTTTGCAAAAGATTTGGGTATATTCTAGTTTTTATTTTTAGTACTCTTTAAAATCACCAGCCAATTTACTTGGGAAAAAGAGTCTGAAGTTCTATTGAGGCAACTAAATTGTTTGGGAAACTTTATTTCATTTCTAAAGCATTGACATAATAATTAATATGTGTAGTAATCAATCCATTGACTGGACCAACAAGCCCTTAAATATACAAAATATATCAAAATAAAACTCTTATAATAAGATTTAACTCACTTGGGCGGAATAAGTTCAGCCTGCAGAACGTGAGTTACATTCTGAAGTCCACCGTGTAACATTCCACTAATACCTCTGAGCAGGAGAAACTGGTGGTATGAGGTGGAACTGGCAACCAGTCCGGTTATACCAGTGTAGATCAGCAGTACAGGTACAACTACTCGCTTTCTACCATATCTGGGAGGAGATGTTTTTTTGTTAGTTCAATTGATGTGAAGTTTAATTTCCATATATTGTACAGTGGAATTGAAAATATTAGCAGGAACGAGAACATGTTGACAAATTATCATGGTGACAACTATAAGTTTTACTGTAACTAACCACTACTTTTAAACTATTTAATGAGTACTACACAGTATTAAAACATATTTATGAACGCTTGTCCATAAACACAATGTAATGAAGCATAAACCTGTCTGCAAGGACCCCAAGTGATGTGGTGCCCACTGCATAGCCCACAAAATAGTACGATATGGACAGAGCAGCTAGATACGCGGTAGAACAGAACACACTGTACTCTGTTGCTATGTTTGTACGGTCTGCCCATCTGAATTGATTACAATTAAATGTGTACTGTTTTACAAGTTCAGCTGTATACATCTGACCTAAAATATAGCTTTTGGGATCATGAAGTCACAAAATATCTAGTGACTAATTACTTGTAATCAGAAGGGTTGAGTTGACAGAAAGCCGTTAATCTGTCAGCTTTGTTATCTCGCAATATATCTGTGCATTTTTCTGTTGCACACTCCCAGTCTGGTACCTGTATATAGAGCAAGTTATCGTTATTAGCTTTCTTTTCAATAAAAACGAAACAGATGACCACTCTGGAGTGGTGCTAATTTGTTGGTAAAAAATTGTAAACCTTCTTGAAACATTCAACCAGTAATGATCCTATTTAGCATCTAAACAGGTCTACCATTTTGCTAAAACTCCAAATCTCCTTCATTGGTATGTGTCTTACCTTCAGAGTAATAGACACAGAAAACGCAACTACACAAGCAATGAACTGGTACAGAGAAAAAACAGCAGTCGTTATCAATTGTAGGGTTCCAAAGTTACCCAAAGAGATCAGAGCCTCTTCCACACTTTGCTTCATATTGCTTCACCTATCCAAGATTGGTAATTGTAATCTTAAATAAAAATTATGCCCATCCATCTTTAAGGGATCCATTGATTATGCTATGATTCGATTGTGTGGCATGGTATGTTTTTTACTAGACCTTAAGGCTTAATCAGGATAGTGATTTTTATTTCCTGACCTCTCGACCTAAACAATTACCTCTAACTCAATATCAATGACTTTGAAACTGTATAGTTCCCATATCTCCTTCTCCATAAATTGTACTTAAATGATATTATCTTTCCTAGTTTCAAATATATTTGTAAATGTTTAAGGTTATTTCCCATTGTTTGTAAGTGTCTTAATGATATGGGACCAGATTATTCAAGTAATATGTTTAAATTTGCAAACTATAATCTTTGACTCATTGAATCTTTTAAAATGATAAGTGGTTTGGCCAATCACGGAGCTGGTTTGTTCAGTATGAGCAGATCTGGTCTTAATGTGGTATCAAACAGTAGATGCAGTAAAAGTAGCAGCAAAATGAAGAAAGTCCACAGTTCTTTTCTTCCGGAGAGGGTGAGACCATATTGGAACAAACATCTTGTTTGTAATCCTCATGTTGCTAAAAAACGCTTTATCAACTTATATAGTAGTGGAAAGTATGTAAATTAGATTCATTTTAACTTGGTTGTTTAGGCCAATAGATTTAAGATAATTTTAAAACTTTAGTAGATATATTTTTGATGATGTGTGATGATGTTTGTGTCATTATATTTTGATTTGATTTGATTTGATTTTATCTTATCTATTTGGTGAAAAATGTCAAACAGTATATATTAAATAAAAAATATAAAATTATTCAAACAATATACACATAATATAGCAATGACCCTATATAAAATCTACCCTTTAAGAATTAAAAAAGTTTCCTAAACAATCTAAAATTACCCTTGGCCTTGTGGCTCCAAGTTAAGATCTAAACTGTTTATAAACAGTCTAGATCTTAACTTGATATAAATATCAACAATGTTTTTTCTCGCACCTCTGTCTCCACGGAGAGAAATCACTGTTGTTCTTAGGATTTCAAAGCGAAGGCGCTTTTTAATGTATCCTACAGCATCCGAGTACCTCTGGCCAGTGTGGTACTCCATTTTACTTTGACGGATGTTACTCGTCTAAATTTCTTCGAAGTAGCGCGCGTCGCTTTCTTCTCGACGGCAAGTGCTACGAAGTAGCGCGCGCCGGGCCAGACCATTAACAATGGTCAACATCTTACTATATACAATAAATTAAATCAAGTGATGCAATTGGCAGAGCACAATCGTAAATCCTGAGCAATAGATTTATCTATTTGACTGATCCTAGGGTGCATACGCTATATGGAAAAAGATCGTTTTAGAAAGTTGGCCCTGAATTATGGAATGAGTTGACATTTGAAATTAAAAATTGTACGACACACGACATTGGACTATTTTAAAGTGTATCTGAAAACATTTCTTTTCAAACTTGCTCATAATATTGTATCTTAAACTGTGTTTTAATTTAACGGGTGATACTCGTAAAATATCTGTTCCATATATATACGAGTCCAACTCGGCGCGCGTCCTGGTAGGTTGTAAACCTACAATGTTTTAATTCAAACAATATACACATAATATATACAATATAACAATGACCGGGACCCTATATAAAAATTCAATTAAAAACTTATAAATGTATCATTGGTTGAACTGTAATCACAGTATAAATAAATTTCAGTTCCAATTTTTAATTGACGAGGTCAATTCTTTGCAGCCCAGTAGCGCATTTCGCCGATCTAACGGAGCATAATTGAGTGCGCGGCGCGGCTCAGCACCGCATCGCGCTACAATTTCAATTTATATTATAAATTTTGTAAAAACGTATTACTTTTTCATCAAAATATGTTAATAAACTAATCCAGCGCTACTTCGCATTTAAAAAAATTGTTATGATATTTTTGACAGATGATATTTTTAACAATTTCTTCGAAGTAGCGCGCGCTTTAAAGTTATTGGTAACTATTAAGTGACTATTTCACAAAATGAAATTATTGAAATGAAACCATTATAGATTTATAACTTACCAAGACGCGCACGGAGCTGGACTCGTCGACGGTCTTAAATATTAGGAACAAATATTTTATTATTATTATTATAAAACAGGATCTTACCGACAAAAATGATTTTTAAAAATACCTTAATGCGGTAAACTGTACCCTTGAAAATGATTTTACCAACATCTGTTGCATGCAGCTATATCTCTAATTTCGTTCAATTCATACAAGTTGTCATTTGCAAATTTCTACTATTTAAATCACTTCTTAAAACCGATAACAAGTTCATTCTAGGTCTCCCCAATCTTCCAATGAATAAATTATCTGATTCAATAGGAAAAGAGAGAGCCGTTTGGGCTGGGGTGTTCTCCATACTCCTGAGAATGTGTCCAAACATCTTCCACCGCTGGTGTTCAATACGCTTGGATACCTTTTCAACTTTGCACCTTTCATACAACGCTTTGTTGCTTATCATACCTTTTGGCCATTTGATGTTTAAAATGGACCTGAGGTGTCTACGATGGAGTGTGTCCATTTTCTCCATGGTTGCTTTCTTAGGACTCCAATTATTTGAGTTGTAAATCAATACAGATACAACTTGAGCATGCAAAAGGGGTGGATATGTATCTCTTCGCCACAACTCATTGAGGGATGTGATAGCAGAGCTATTAGAAACTGCTGGCTGTAAAGATGTTACCACTGAACCTCTCTTCATTCCTGTCAACGGGAGAGAACTTCCTGCAGGGGCCAACAAAGCAGATGGAGCTAGATTAGATGTTAGTGCTAGGAGTGTATGGAACCCATTGGAAAGGGCATTTTTAGATGTAAGAGTATTTCATGCTCAAGCTCCTTCCAATAAGGCTCTTGGATCTCCAACTACTATGTACAATAGCCACGAGAGACAGAAAAAGAATTTATACAATAAAGTGAAACAAATTTTTTTTAGTGAAACAAATTTAAAATTTTATCCTTTATTTTACAATAATAGTAAAATAATATTTATAAGCCTCCGTTTTGAAAGTTTTAAATTTTAATACATTCACATTTCTATTTAAAATTCAATTTTATGTACAAGTCAATAACTGGCCGCCAAAGCCGCGCATTCTTGAAAACAGGATTAACTTGATTATAGTTATACGACTATGTAAATTTAAAACTATCCGTGGTTTTTTCTTTTAAATAAATACGTTATTATTTTACCTAAGTCCAAAGCCAGCTTTGAAAAATTTACTATTAAATCATAATATATCGTCAACTTTAAATATTTACAATGCAAAATTCATTAATCTGTAAACACGCGTACTCCAGCCCCTAAACGCATAAATTGTTATGCGGCGCGGCTCAAGCCGCGCACGCACGTATTATTTTATACTGTTTGCTTTCTAATAAATATCGTGCCAATGTGTACGTCTAAATTGTAAACGTTCATGTTTTGTGTAAAGTGAATCCAATTGGGACTAGTGACAAGGATAAGGACCCAAGTGCCTGTACGGCTTTTTCGGACCCCTGTGGACCACTACTCTTGAAATCACTCTACAACATTGAACATCTGTATCTACTACGTCATTTGGCAATTATTGTCATTAATCTAACTTTCTAATTAATTGCCGAGGGGGAAGAGTAAACGCTTCACATTAAAATTCAATATACAAAATTCAAAACCATCAATACGGTATTAAATATTATGGACAAATCTATAGATCTATTTCGTAGTCATATATTCACATGATTTGCTTTATATTATCTTAATACTGTAATGAAGTACAGTAGGATTTGTGTTTCGAGAAAGAAAGGTTGCGGTCAAATTATTAACAAAAGTAAACAAAAGTCCATCAGGGACTCCGTGGAGTCGAAAAAGGTACACGGCTGCTGTCTGGTGCTGCTAGGCATTTATTGATCAAGATGTTTTATTGTATTGATTTATAATGATTCTATTGTTCGTGACTAATCAAGTTCTAAGTGGAGGTATAAAGTGCTGCTCAAGATACTTCGTCATCTCATGTCCAGTATAATGATTAAGATAGTATACAATGCAGTTTTAGTAGTTGACCCATACAGTTAAGTCCGTCATAACTCACAATCGTTAAGTAGTCGGTCAATTGTCAGAGTCGTTGTGTGTTTATTCGTTGAGATAGCAGTAAGATAAGATGTTACGCGCGCGCGCGTTTAATCCCGTCGACGTGAGATGTGACAATGAAAACGCCATAAAATTATTATTTTCGTGCGTTACGTAGAGTTTACCAGTGTGTAATACTAGTTAACACTGGGTGTACACTGAGTGTAAGTGTAAGTTTCATATACAAGCCGTTGAATATTTCCAATTTTGAGTGTATCGTGAGCATGTTTTACAGTGCGATTGCTCGGTACTAGTGTGTTTGTGTATATATATATATATCATTTGTGGAGTATGGTGTAAGTAATGTTTTTGGTTGGAGTGCAGTGGTTGTATGTATGAGAAAAGATATATGGTCATTTTAGTAACTCACATAAATCAGAACTTGAGCTCATTTGTGGCAAAATTAAGCTCACACCAATCAAGTGTATCATGCTTGAATTGCAATTCTCGTAAGGCAATTTTCAATATATTCTTAAACCCGTTTGTCGGAGTATTAAAACTTATCTTACTTGATGTTTGTCGACAGCTGTTCCACATGTAGGATGATTGGTAGATGAATTGTGAGGATGGTTGTGATGTAATGAAATAATCCTCTCGTCGTGGTGACCTGTTAAATGATGAGTACAGTGATAATGGTTCCTCTAACTTATTAATTTTGAATAGTTCTAAGAGACAAGTGTACTTGTACAGATTGTGGACCGTCAACAACCTGTGGGTTTTAAACAAGGGCTTGGAGTGTTCTTTTTGGTAAAAGTCCACCCCCAGTGCTAGTCCCCTCCAGTTGAGGTGAAGGAAGTCCGGTTTTTGGTATTTGTTGAGGTCGCGAGAGAGAGAGCGGTCAAGGAGACCATCCCTATCACAGAACTCATCAAATACATCCACATAACTGACACCAAAATTGGACGGGAGCAGCCTACATCGAATCAAACTGTTAAAGTATATAAGCTTTCTATTTAAATCAGCACGTTTAGAAGGAATTGTTGGACAAACATATACATGCACACCCGGATTAATAGATTGAATCTGGGTAATTTTTGAAACTAGATGGTTGTAGATTATATCAATATCGTTTTGGCTTTTTACATCTGTTTGTTTCAGGTCATTAACCCCACACAATATAACACAGTTTCTATAGCCACAGGACACATAAGGATCAATGCTATCGACAGTTGGGGCAAAGAATCGTTTTCCAGGAAGCCATTTGCCGAATGACTTGGCA